AAGACACCAAGATTTACGTGGAAAACCCTTCAATGTGAACCACAGGACCAAAAGCTCCACTATAATCACCAAGACTTACAATATTGTTCTCCAAAATTGGCCACAAAACAAGTGCCAAACAGCGAGCAACAACAAAATAAGATTGCACCAAATTTAGAGAATTAAAGGAGCAAAATCACCAATTTCGCAGCTACTATTCACGACAGCAAAACTGAAGCTGCAGGTCACCAAATCCAACTCTGTCAGTTCCTAATCAAAGATTGAGATGAAGATAATATGTTGTCCAAAAATCAGCTCAAACGGACAAGAAACGAAGCGGGAATCGCAATTTGAAGTTGGCTGTTAGGGCTGAATTTTGATTGCGAAAACTGCTCTCTTTCTCTCTTTTTGGCTGCTGAAAAAACTCTCTGTGTATATGAAAATAAGACCTAAATAGGCTTATACTTGCCTCATAAGAATGGGCTTATGGGCAAAAATGGGTTGCTCCAAATTGAACTTTTATTTATCCACATAGAAAGGGAAAAAGACCCATAACCCAGCAGAATTCATATGGCCTACCCTCAAGTTTAGCCTTTAAAGGTACAAAAAAAAATTCCACATTATAATTTGAAGCAGGAACAAAGTGTTATCTTTTCTCCTATGAGATCCATTATTGAAATTAATCTTCTAAAACTCTTGAAGACGGTGTATAACATGTCAAAGTTATGGCCTATGGACTCTGTCAACTACACGAATAAAAGGCAACAAAGAAATACTTCATTACGCGAGTAAAGCCTTCAAGAGTATGGAAGTAGTTATACAACAAGCCTCTAAACATGAAGCACCATGGAGATAATAGCTAAGCCTTCTAAAGATTGAGCTAATAGAATCCATCCTATTTTTCTCAGTACAAATGAAAATAAGCGAGCGCTAAGCTCAATAAGAGTGTAAAGGCAGCACCATTAGAAAATAACAGACATCGCATGGCATAAACTATAAAAGAACACTGAGGATAAAAATGAGCTTGTAGAAACAACCAAGGCAAAATTTTCTTGTGGACATGGGAACAAAAGTAGTAGAGTGTTCAACATTAAATTATCGCTCCTCTGTGGTAATGAGGAATAAGGAGTTACTGAGTCTTCTATCACATTTTGACAAGAAAAAATGGATCGAAAAAATAATGTAACAGTAACTTATGGTGGTTTCTGTAATATGCTAAGATGTTAATATAGATGATGCATATGTGAACTAAACCAAAATATTCCCCTCACATTACTTTAATGGGGAATACTTTGAGATCAACTTGTCAACATGAATTACGATATCATCTATGCAGGGTCGGACTGTTGGTTGAGGCTGAAGCATCCATGTCACAAACTGATTAAGGTCGTTTGGGTATTGAACATTAGGCTCAGTTGGCCACTTTATTTGTGCATTTACAATAGCCAATTGTGGACTTTCATCAGATTCCTCTAGTGCATACTCGAATGGAGATACACCATACCTGGACATAAAAGCCAAGATGTTAAAGATTAATAACTGCATTTCATGCAAACAGACCTGCTCAAAAACCAATTTCACTGTTAATTAATATCTGCACTCGGTAAATATATGCATGTCATGAAAATTTTTGTTTCTTATTCTGAAAAGAAAAAGAACTTTTACTGTGAATAATAATTGGCAAAATCAGCACCAGACAACACTTCAGTATGCTCATCAACACACTTATTTTAAGCATTGCAGGATATTTCACACTTGAGTTAGCTTAACTCATGACTAGATCGAACTGAATATCAATTTATTGGACAATGGTGATGCAACTAACAGACATGTCAACAAAAGAATAAAAATATTTTATTTTGCACAGAAAAAGCTACAAAAAGTAGGGAGAAGTCTTACATTATAGCAAATAATGTACAACCTAATGACCAGATATCAGTTCTTTCATCAATATCACATTGACTTGGGCAGTCCCACAATTCAGGTGCACGGAAAGGGGCTGAAATATGCTCAGATGCCCATTCCTGGATAACCAAAAACGTACATCAAACCAAAAAAATATGCATCAGAATGGGGTAAGTTGTGAACTGTAAGCAACAGAGCCAAGAAAAAGCAACATCCTTATGTTATTAATACAGTAATGGTGATAACATTCTCCCTGTTCAGGTTCAGAAGAAGAGAAAGATGAGAAGCTTGCAGGCATAACTATAGAAGAAGATAACGTCTACATAATAGAAGAAGCACAAGTACCTGCAACTGTAGAGCCTCTGAGCGAGAGCGAATTTGCCTTCTTGCAGGACATGCATTTCCAAAATCCATTAATTTTGCAAGAGGTGCCTGTCCTTTCCGATGTGTTAACAGGACATTACCAGGTTTGACATCATTATGTGCATACGGAGGATCAAAGCTATGCATATGCTTGAGACCTGCACAGAGCTGCATATAAAACATTTTTCAGTACATCATTTTTTGGCTCCACAATTCCATGTGCACTTGACCCTTACATTTTCCTTCAGAAAATGAAAAGATGCTCTTGTGCAGAACATACTGATTCTTGTTCACCTGATGAAATATTTGAAGCACCTCCAAAGTGGAAAAGAACTCCTGTTTTGCTTGCATGGCTTTCATACTGTCCAGTAATGTCCCATCCATATGGGCTGGAAATAACAAGTAAGCTTCCTGCTTCCTAGACTGGTCTTGTGAGGCCTGCCCATTATCCAATTAAATAAGATCTTTAGAGAAAATCAGTGGCAACTGAAGATATATCATAGAGGGAAGGCAACAAAGAAGATATAACTCAGCATGCTTATAGCATTCAGCAAAAGTAGAGCATGTTGACAAATGACAGTTTGCTTAAACACAGTTCTCACTCCCAGAAGCCAAAACTACCGGAAGAGATTCATCTCAATGAGACATGTGCACAGTAACCCTCTGCGACAGTGAGCAACTTCTCAACCCCCTTTCCTTTGCCTTTTGCGAAAGAAAGGAACTAAATGGTACACTTCTCTGTCCATTCACATGCATGTTCAAACTTCTTCAAATATATGGAAATAAAACTATTATGATGGGAATGAGTTCCTTGAACTCTTGAAGCACATATAAGATTCCTGGAACGGAAAAGGATCAATAATGGTTATGTGTTCGCCTTCTTTGCATGATATGCGCTCTCAATTTAATACGTGTGAATTAATTTTGAGAAGGCCTCTTGATAAGAGATAGCCTAGACGTGGAGCTGGTGAATTACTAAATGAAGAAATTAGAGACCACTTTAATTTTCTTTTTCATGTGCTGATCAAAGCAAGTGTGCGGGTTCTAGTAATTACCTTGACCGAAATGATGGCGTGATCCAGGAGAGGAAGCAGATTGGGATGGCTAAACAGAGACGAAACGCGGATCTCCTCTTTCACCAACTCTAACTCTTCATTGTTTTGAATAAGAACTTTCTTCATTGCATAAGTTCCATCATCTAAACATTCAGATACAATGCATTGCAAACACTATAATGTTAACATGATAATTTGATAAGTGTTAATAAGAACAAGAGAAGTATGAACTACAATAATTGTACAAGAATCTGCACTAATCTTTTCCTAGAGAAAGAATCATAAATCTGAGTGCACTAGATGGTTCAGGTCCATAAGCAAAAAAATATTTGAACTGATACATGGGGAAATTGTTGCAGGCCTAACTGAGCAATTGAAAAAAATTCATCGAGAGACAAAAAGAGAACATAAAAGGCAAAGGATAAGGTTTCATTGGACTTTCTTCTTTTCAATTGCAAACAATAGTAAATATATGTTTAGAAGTGTTCATTTTTGTGCCTTCTCTTTTCTTGATAAGATGTCGCACAAACCAGCAGTGAACTATTAGTAAATCAAGAAAAAGATATCTAATTGCACAAAATATAAGCAAATTTGGTAGTTAAAGTTCATATGTCAAGAGAATCACCCTATAGAAACACCCAGTAACCATACAAAATCACAGTTATTTAGCAGGTAAAGGAAAGAAAACATTGATAGTAGCAAACATCTCAGTTCTTCGCAAGTCACAGTTCACTAATTGGAACAACAGAGACACAAATACCTGTGGAGTGTAATTGATACAAAAACTCCCCCTATGATCATTGACAACTACAACCAAAGCAATTCGTGTAGAATTTGAAGCAGGCAAGAAACCTTTCATTGGCAAATCTGATCTAATAGTCAACAGCAACAACAACTACCAAGATCAACTATAAGAATTCCCATTATCCATTAAGCACAGTCTCAACATGTTTACAAATCTGACCTAATATAAGATCAACAACAAACCCATTATAATTCCACAAAATAGGGTCCCTGTAGAAAGTACAAGGTACGCACACCTTACCACAAATTTCTGTTTCCTATAGAGTCAGATCACAAGAGAGGAAACAGAAAAATGTCCACTAATATTATTCACAAATTTGACCCAATTGTCAACAACTACAACTATTCATAACTTAATTCAGCTCAAAACTCAACAAAACCTGATTCAATTGTCAATATGATTCAATTTTCAGATATCAAAAGAAAAGGAAAACGAAACTTGCTATTGCCACAAATTAATTTGAGTATTCCTCAAACCAATGTAGTAAGTATCTACTAATATGTACCAGAGACATGAGAAGGGTCCTTGATTTTATTTGGATCAGAAATGAGCTCCTTGACAAGGAAGACATTGGGAAAAGTGGCTTGACGAAGGATCCTGAAACGGTTCTCATTGATCCAAACATCTCCTCCGCCATTGGCATTGTCATACAAAGCATTGAGTCCCGAGAACGAGCATCCCATTTTTTCACTGTTAAATCAATGGGCAGCTCCTTCTCGTTGGTGATGGTGATGTTTCTCTCTCTGACTTTTGAGAGAGAAAGAGAAGAGAGATTTTTTTCCTTTCTCTTGGATCTCACAAAGTTGTCTTTAGTATTTCTTTTTTCTTTTGGCGCAGATTTTGATATCATGTGATGCTTGTAGTAGAAGTAGTACAAATGTACAACTTATCTTCTTTCTCGGATCTATCTCTATGCGCAACTTACTATTTGAGTTTCTTTCTTCTTTTACCAAAATGCACATACAAATTGGCTAAAAATCAAGTTAGGTCATCATTGTTCAATTTCATACGTTTAATCTCAATAATTTTAATATATTATTAGTTAATTTTTAAAATCGTTATTTAAATTTATAATTCAAGAAAAATATAAATTAATAGATAAATTCTAAAAGATATTTCCTATGTTCCTTGTCCATATTTTCTTTTTTAATTGTCCATATTTACTTGTCTATTTTTCCAAATTAAGAAAGGATAATTTCTTTTCCTATTCTACCTACATTTAAAATTTTTGAAATTTTCTAAGTTTTAATTCATTATTTTTGAAGTCATAATTAATAAAGGTAAAATTTTAACTTCACTATGCTAATTATTATTATCTAATTATGTGTGTCATTTCTAAAATAGGACAATTAAATAGGGATGGAGGGGGTAGTATAAGATAGATAGTGATTCATAACTTACTATAGAAACATATATTACATCAATACAAAATAAAGAGTCTAAAAATGGTTTAAAATTATAGATTAATTGGGCTCAATTGAAGATTCTTCTAAAATAAATTTAGGTATGAATAGTGCCGACAAAATGAGCAAATATTTTGATAACCCGCTTATATTTAATTGATTGGATAACTGACTTTTTACATGGATAAAATATGGGTTGATACTCATATTCAACTCATAAAAATATGGATAAAATATGAATTAGCCAAATGATTTAAGCTTCTAACTTTTATTCACTCAAATTTATGATGTTACCAAAAATATTCAAACTTCTCTTCCTTTTTATATTCTTTTATAAAATTAATTATTTTTCTCTATAATTGAAAATATGAAGTCTTTAGTCCTTCAAAAATATCTATTCTAAATGTACTTTTTTTTTAATTATATTATATTTTTTTATTTGTTTAATTTTATATTGAATAATAAATAATAGTGTAACATATACTAGTATTGACATTACTTAAAGTGCATTAAGCTTGTTTTAGGGTGTGCATGGTATGAAGGAAAATATTTTCACCTCCACCAAACAACCAATTACCGGCCACACCCAAAAAAAAAATTTAAGTTATTTTCAAAAAAAAATTGAACTTCAAAATTTTATTTTTTTCACCCCTACCCTCGATCCCACCCACCCACCCCCTACCAACCCCCCAACCCCAAAAGAATAATTTTAAGTTTGTTTGTAAAAATGATTTCAACTTTAAAATTTCATTTTTTTCTTTCCTACCATCCCTCCCCTCCCGCTAACCCCCTTATCAGCCCCCCCCCCCTTCCCCAACCCCGAAAAAAAACTAATTTTGTTTTTTTAAATTATTTTCTACTCTAGTAATCAAACATTACAAATCTTTTCTAGAAAATATTTTTTACTCACTAACTTCTAACGGTCCTAACCGTCGTTATTTAGGAAAGACAAAAAATTATAAAAAAAATCTAGACCTCATCCCGCTACAGTGGGGTAAATACCGCAACAGCGGGATACGCGAGACAGGATGTAATTACAGGAAATTCTACTTTGTTCATCTTCCTAAAATACCTAGAAAAGTCGTAAATAACGTCCCTAGAAACCTCAACAAAGTTATTACAAGCTTGGAAAGAAAGGATAAGGATATTTCTAGCGTTGGGATGGTGGAATCTTGCAAAATTTTGGCCAAACTCACCGTTTCGAAGTGAAAAAGCTGGAAACAAAGTCAAAACCCCCGTATAACTGGTTGGCGTCCAGGTAGGCTAGGTTTATGCATTCAGTAGTTGTAAATGTAATGTATGAAACCAATAATATGAGTTATATGTAGACCTTCGTGCACCGAGTGAATTCCGTAGAAAATTGCTATTATTAAATCTAATTAGGTTAGTGCTTAAGAAGATATTTTGATGACTTGTCAAGGTTTCCGAAATTGCTTTCTTGAATAGAATTGCTTCAAGAACAACGATATCCGATAAAGTGGAACATGATCATGGGTGTGTGCTATATTCGATCTATTAAAGTTATAAAATTGATGAAATTTTAGTGAATTAAGATTAAACCCTAATGAAGAACTAGAACTAAGCTTGGTATATTTGTATGTTAGGAATTGAGAAGTACTTCATAGGTGATGGTTGTGATGTTATGATTATGTGATGTTTTTCTTGATTCATTATGATACTTGTATATTATGAATGTTGTAATATTGATCATGCTTGTTGTAAATGAGATATATGAATAATGATGTAAATATATAATCTTGATGATGTACTTGTGATTGTGGTTGTGTGATTGAGATCAGATTGCCACATTTCGGCATAACTAACTTGGATCGGTTGCCACGTTTTGACATAAATATGGGATCAATTATCATGTTCCGACATAAACATGGAATCAACTGCCACGTTCTATCCCATTAACAATGAGATCGATTGCCACATTTCGACATAAAATAGAAACGGCTGCCACATTTTGGCACACTAATAATGGAATCTGATTGCCATGTTCTGGTAAGCTTACTATTTGAGATTGAGTTCCGTGAGAGAACTTTTGAATTATGTTGTGTATCTAATTATGAGGATTACATTTATATTTATTGATAAGTGATATTGAAGACATATTTTGCTCCATAATTGATAACCGATGAATTTGTGATAAGTGTGTGTGAGTAGCTTGTTCTAATTATGGATATTCTTGAAGTATGCTTGTAAAAATAATATGGCATTGGTGGTAGAAGTTATAGTAGTGAACTCGAGTTATAATGACTTGTAGTTGGTGTGTCGTGAGGAATAAATGGTGAGAGTAAAGATAGTACATTCGATAAAACATATTAGGTGGATTTTACTTGGGGAAGTCAGATGGGGATTAGTATAACGAAAGTGAGTCTAATTATTTAATAGACAATGATGGGGTATTATGACAAGGCAAGTATATGACGTGAGTGGTTAGTTGAATTAGTGATGAGGGTACTTGAGGGTTGACTATGTGTTTAGAATGGTTAAGCCATGATCTAGAATTATGTAAGTGGGTGGCAAACAACGAGTTAGTAGCTAGAATGACAATATGATTTGGGGGAGGGGGGTAATTTAATGAAAGGGTTAGGTGGAGAAGCGAGTGGTTTATTTCATGATTCTTACTAGTTGGTTTCTTATATTGTGTTGTGGGTGTCGGGTTGACCGATGTGCCTACTAGTACGTGTTTTTGTACTGATACTACTCTTAGTATGTTTTTTGACATAGTCTGGTTGTAGAATTCGGTGATGTTTAGTTAGGTGGAAACGAAGAATCTCCATTACCTTCTACTTGTCCTTTCGTTTGGTGGAGTTATGTCATGTATTTTCTTGTCCATAATATCCTTAGTAGCTCTTGTGTCTGTTTAGACTAGATCCTTGGGGTTGTTAATTACTTTACAAGTCTTACTAGTTCGTTAAAAAAGATTCCATTTATAAAGATTTTTATCTCTATTATATCTATCTTTCATTAATTTTCCGCATGTTTTAACATTTGGGGTGTATGAGGTTCTCATACTCGGGTGTTAAAGTAAGTGCTCGCACGACCCGATGGGTTGGATCGTGACGAATTAGTATCAAGCCTAGGTTATTGATCTCCCAGTACAAGAGCAAAATGTGAACTAGACTCCTGCGGATTGGTGTGTTGACGTCCACACCTAATCTTCAGAAAATTAGAAATCATTCTAGGAAGTTGTTTCACCCAGTCTCTCCTTTATGTGAAGTGTGGCTTGTGATATGAGTTGAGTCCAATTGGTATCTCAACGAAGTGAACTAGACGTCCTATTTTCAACTAAAAGGATACAATCAAAAGTTAATCGAAATTAAGAAGGTTTCAATTGGTATCTGGTTTTAAGGGTAGTACGAGGCATAGATGACTAGTATTTGTTATCTATGGGACGAACTAACCTATAAAGTGAGGTTGTTATGATGCGTGATTTATGCTTGTAAATGTATGACTTTGTGTATGATTTATGGTTGTGAGTACGTGTGCTATTTGTTGTTTGAATTAGCTACGATTGTGTGCTCCTTGTTGTCTGAAAGGACTTGGTATATGGAGGTTTTACGAGGGATGTGTGTGACCTGAATAAAGACACAGTTTTGTGTGTTTGGATTTTGATGTTGTGTAAATTGCTGAAAAAATTGTTAAAGTATGCAAGTGTAATTCATGAATATCGAAAATTTGTTGAGATAGACTCTAATCATTAAGTATATGAATGTCTTGATGTATATTGGGCGGGTGTGGGCTATAATGTTGAAATTTTTATAACATTATGGGTTGAATATCATGTACCCTGGTTTGATAAATTTCGTAGTTCGATGGAATGGTAAAATGAGGACCCTGGAAAACTTGGGAAATGAAAAAGAACCAGAAAAGTTTGGCCTGGGTTTCCTCCTTTCCCTATTTTCAAAATGTGAACTTAAAAGGGATTCGAACAAATCCCTGCAACCGCAGATAGTGTTCAACAGACGTTATAGAGAATTATAACCTACTATTTAAAACAGGGTTGCATCAAACAGCCAAAACAAGCATCCATGTGCTACAAAAACTTAGAAAATATCGAAAGATAAAAATAAAACTTAGTTGTCTTAAATTTACAAGCCCAAGAGGGAAAAAGGGAAATAAAATTACGGATTCTCAGACTGGGTGGTTTCGATGTCTAAATCAAGGTCCTCTGGGGGCGTCATGCCATTCCAAGCCTCGTTCAACGTGGAGAAATTCTCGAAGTTCGGCGGCTCGAGTCTAGAAAGTTCCTTGTCGGAGCCCACGCAAGTGAAGATAGCCTTAACCGTCTTCTACATCCTCAGCATCAGACAATCCCTGATCACACCCTTCCTCCTCTCCTTGCGTAGCTACATCGGAGCATCTCGACCTCCAAGGCAGTGCTAGGTGGGATCAGAATAAAATCAGTGTAAGATTTTATAGTATATGCTTGA